GTGTTTCTTTCTCGATCTAGTTCAAGATTTTATTTTATTTTATTTGGATACGAATATTGGTACAAGGAGGCGCCAAATACATATACGTCACACAAGTCATTCAATCTGTTTGAGGGTCTGGATACTGCTTGGGCCCCCAGGTTAAGGCAGGTTGTTATCTTAGTGACCACTTCCGAGTCTTTGAATTAGAGATCTAATCCATAAGGCAGTGGAACAACGTCAGGAGATGTAGTCCCATGATAGCCAGTGACCAACAATAGGTTCATATGCCATTTGCTTCCTCAAGATCCCGGAGCCCATGTACACTACTAGTTTGGAGTCAGGGTTTTTGACTCCCCTAGATGAATCCTCCATATCCACCGACCCGGTTAAAGCGCCGGACATCCACCTTTTGTCCTGTCAATTTGGTAGACAACACCCCTTACTGCGAGAAGGCAGTTAGTAGAACTTCCGTGGGAGTGGCTGTATACGCGTGGCTATGTGAGAGCGTTTTGAGAGGGAGAACAGACTCTTCCCATCCCCGACCGTACCAGGGCATTTTGAGACAAAGTACCCACGGGATGAGAACCGGTGCTTTCAACGTGGTATGGTCGCCTTCAGTCTGGGCAGCTGGGCAGTATCACAGCCCTCACACAAATCAAATGAGATGTGTGAGGCGCATATTTATCTGGTGCTTCATTGTACCAATATTTATGTGTCTAAATAAATAAATAAAGCCCACGGGACGAGGCCCCGGCAAGACGGGGCGCTGTCAAAGGCCAAAATGAACGTCTATAGTCCTGGTTTTCTGAGTGAAGCTTATTTATTTATTATTTATTTAAACACATATATATTGGTACAAAAGGGGATGCAGCGATGTATTAACCGCTATCTAGTAGCACTCACACTAAGATACCGGTTATTACTTGATGACATGTCTTAAAAACAGTCACAGTAACGCATGGACTTACCATTTTTTCCCTAAATCTTAAATGTTTCATGACTCATTCCTTCCTGCGTCAAACCCGTATTTTCCTGACAATTTTACTAATTTAACCTTACTGTACTTTTGCGTTTTGTGGTAACTTGCTCCTAGTCTCTTCGATTCACAGTTATTCAATAATATGTTTGTCTTATATCACTTAAGGTTACCAGTCACTAGTTTCCGTTCCTACTTCACTAACCATTCGAAAGCTTTGATTTCATGCTGTATTTATAAGAAATAGTCATTGGATATATTGTTAGGTGTCATTACTTTTTGTTATGCTTTTTTTCAACTACTTTCCTATACAAAATAGAAAGGTTTGATGAATGGTTGAGGTCCTAACGATAACCACGGTCAGTGGGTGACATGGTTTAGAGTCAGTCACAATGACGCAGTTACATTCAATCTTTTTCTTTATTTTAGATCTTGGGCTCGAATGTTTTCTCATACATACCTTCTCATTCTGTCTTCTCAAACCATGTTCTCTCAGTACTCAGTACTTAGCCCCCAAATGCCCTGGTACGGCCGAGAGTGGGGAGAGTCACCTCTCCCTCTCGAAATACTCTCATATGGCCAGAGAATATATAGCCTCTGCCAGGGAAGTCCTACTCACTGCCTTCTCGTGGCGGGGGTGTTGTTTACGAAAGTGAGAGGACGAAAAGCGAATGTCCGGCGCTTTAACCGGGTTGGTGGACCCTCCGTGTCCACCTAGGGGAGTTAGAAAACCCTGATTCCAAACCAATGGTGCACATGGGCTCCAGTATCCTGATGGAACGAATGGCCGACGAACCTGTCATTAATCACCGGCTACCATGAGACTGCATCTCCTCACGATGCTCCACTGTCTTGTGGATCAGAAATTCAGGTCAAAGGCTCCGGGTGTGGCCCCCTAAGAAAACCACCTGCTTCAGTCTGGGCACCTGGGCAGTATCACAGCCCTCACACAAATCGAATGAGATTTGTGAGGCGCATATTTATCTGGTGCTTCATTGTACCAATATTTATGTGTTTAAATAAATAAATAAATAAAAATAATAACCATGTTCTCTCAGTACTTAGTCTTTCTTGTTATCATTGATAATACAATTATTTCGACTTCTTTAATATTCATTTTGTTAATTTCTTGTTTTGCGAATGTTGTATAACGATCTGGGGTAATGTACTTTTGTTTTAGGCTCTGTATTATTTGTGATTGACTAGTAAATTAGCTTGCATCTATTTTAGACATATCGTTTCTCTTACTTTGACTAGATAGTACTTTTGATTTACTATTTGGTTTCAGGTAGAAATTTTGCTCCTTTTTCTAAAGTAAAGATAATTGGGTAGTAGGACATATAACCTGGACAAGAAATTTGATATTACCTATTATATTACACCATTTTTCTTTTTGTCATTGGCTCTTCTGGTCAGTTAAAAGCAACGTTGAACCTGACGAATGTGTACATCGGTTGAAGTTCCCATACCTTCCTAACACCTCGAGATGAAGTTGTCAAAGCAGACCACAGAGTAATAGAGTTACTAATAGGATTGTTGGTAATATAACAGACTATGTACCAAAGATACAACTCAAGGAAATGTAAATCAGTGGCATTACAATTTATGATCAATCTAAAAAATTATGATCTAAGGGTAGGCATAGAGTGAATAAACCTGAGTTATTGCAAAAGATTTTGAGTCATGTCACTCAAATTCTTTAACCATTGTTTGTGGTAATCATTTAAACTAAAACCAGGTAGTTTACACCTGTTAAAGTTGGTCAGTCAAATTGTCAATGACTTCATGGATTGATGCCATATCCTGGTTTTGATGCCTGACATTCTTTCAGCCCATTCTAACACGTGCCACGGTTACTCATCGGGTAAGCTGTGTTCGAGCATACGAAATCCATGTTTCTACCATCTCAGTCGATAAAGATTCACCACCTTAGTTTTCGATTTGCCATACGTATTTTGTACTCTGTGTTTAACGTCAACATTACTAACTTGATGGTCCGAAAATATACGAGAAGTATTTCAGACATACGTATTATCAATTACTGACAATTTGAGAATATCCTCTCTTTTTAAAAGTTTATTTTACCCAGCACAATTCTTAGATATTTTTATTTTGTGAAACGATTTAATTTATCGGCAAATTGTTTATAGTCACATTGAAATTTGAAGAACGGTAAAATTTTATCGTCAGCGTTCTTGTTGCAAAGTATCTGTAGTCATGGTTTTTATCTTTATTTGTAGTTCCAATGATTCGTTTGGCGGATAAAATACGTCAAAGACAAAGTGGCATCACCTCTACAGAACCAGATGCTGTTCAATCGGCTTCCGTTCGAAATGCTACTATCCGTGATCGTCTTGTTTTACAGGAATTACAAGAGTTAAGGGCTAATATATCCCAGCAATGTTCAATTCATCATCCCGATCCAAACAAACTCCATGAATTCACCTTAATAGTAAGACCCAATGAAGGGATTTGGGCTGATGGAAGTTATCATTTCAATATTGTTGTTCCTGAAGGTTACAATCACACTCCACCTCTAGTCAATTGTACTACACAAATTTGGCATCCGAATATCGATGAAGCTGGACGTGTTTGTTTGAGTTTACTTCGTCAGAGTTCACTAGATTTCTCTGGTTGGGCACCAACAAGACGTTTACTTGATGTTGTTTGGGGAATTGAATCTCTTTTTTCGGATTTATGCGATTTCAATGATGCATTAAATACAACAGCTGCTGAACAATACTTACGTGATCCTGAAGCATTTCATGATACTGCACGGAGCTATGTCTTTCGTTTTGCACGATAATCAATTTATTTTCCCATTCGACTTTATGTATTTTCAATGCGTAAAAATAAACCTTGCACAAATCCAACATGTTATTGTCCAGAGACACTTGAAGTTAATTACTTTTTATTTTGTAAACAGAATTGAATGCTTCGTGTAAAATATTATCCAAACAACACTCTTTAGGGAAAAAAGACATACATTTATCTAATTTATTGGTTTGCTTGTTTGTTCTGATTACTTAAATAAGCGAAGTTAACGTTCGATTACAATGAGTAGTACATTCTGTTTGTCACTTTTAACAGCTAATGGTTGTAATAAAATCATAAAAATTATAATTTCATCCTTTTGATATGTGGTTATGATTTTGTTCATTATGTCTGTAGTATAGTCAATATTCATACGGAACTCCTATAATGGACTAAACTGCCAAATCGTCCACGGAGGACAACTCGCCGACTCATTCGACGTAAGGACCGGTGTTAGGCAAGGTGGCTTACTCTCACCCTTTCTCTTTCTCCTGGTGGTCGACTAGATCATGAAGACGTCAACATCTGTAGGAAAGCACGGGATACAGTGGACAGGCAGGATGTAGCTTGACGATTTAGACTTCGCAAATGATCTGGCTCTTCTATCACAAACGCAACAACAAATGCAGGAGAAAACGACCAGTGTAGCAGTAGCCTCAGCAGCAGTAGGTCTCAATATAAACAAAGAGAAAAGCAAGACTGTCCGATACAATACAACATGCACCAATCAAATAACACTTGACGAAGGAGCTTTGGAGGATGTAAACACCTTTACATATCTGGGCAGCATCATTAATAAACACGGTGGATCAGATGCAGATGTGAGGGCGAGGATCGGCAAAGTAAGAGCAGCATATTTACAACTGAAAAACATCTGGAACTCAAAACAATTGTCAACCAACACCAAAGTCAGAACTTTCAATACAAATGTCAAGACAGTTCTTCTGTATTGGGCGGAGACGTGGAGAAATACGAAAGCCATAATCCAGAAGATACAAGTGTTCATCAACAGCTGTCTACGCGAGATACTTTGGATGCGTTGGCCAGACACTATCAGCAACAAGTTACTGTAGGAGAGAGCAAACCAGATTCCAGCGGAGGAAGAAATCAGGAAGAAGCGCTGGAAGTGGATAGGACACACATTGAGGAAAGTACCCAACTGTGTCACAAGACAAGCCCTCACATGGAATCCTGAAGGTCAAAGGAGAAGAGGAAGTCCAAAGAACACATTACGCCGAGAAATAGAGACAGAAATGAGAAGAATGAACAAGAAATAGATAGAATTAGAAAAGAAGGTCCAGGACAGAGTGGGTTGGAGAATGCTGGTCGTCTGTCTATGCTTCATTGGGGTTAACAGGCGTAATTAAGTAAGTAGTAATGTCTGTAGTAGTTCCATTGAAAAAATAATAATACCAGATAGCACACATAAATAATTTTTATTTTACAGTTTAATGCAGTCTGTCAGACTATTGAATTTGCTACCAAGAGGAAATGTCACTGTCTGTTCATTACGACTAGATAGTACGACGAAATCGTCATCACCACATAATCCTAATAGTAAAACTCAAAAAAGTAAGGATTATACTTTTAACAGTTTATGAATATTTATTATTTTTTTCAGCTGTAGAACGTATTAAAGATGATAAGAAAAAGTCTACAAGAACTATCTACAATGTACCAGAGTACTATGAACATAAAACATTTTGTTTTTACGACTTGGAAATGCAACTAAAAAGATTTCGATTACCACAACCTAATCCTTCATGATCTTTTTTCGGTTTTCAATTGTTTAAAACATATAGTTATATAATGTAGTATATAATGTACCGGACACATGAACCAAATATACAAAATATATCTTTTATTTCCATTATGACTTCTCTTACTCATTATTTTGTTAAGTTTCTAACAGCCTACTAACTTTGTATATAAGTAGTTAAACAATTATCTGTTTATTTTTTCAGACGTTATCAACAATGAATATTGAAATATTAGAGAAACGAGTAAGCGAATTAGAACATTTAGTATTTGGACCTACTAAACCAGAGAAAAAGTTGACAATTGAACATGAAAAAGTTAACCTATTTATCATTTAATTCATTTGATTAATTTCTTTATTAAATATATATATTTAGAATTTAGTAGACCAATTGTATGAATTATACTCTGCTATGTCAGTTGCTGAAAAACGTTCAGTTAGTAGTAAATTACTATCAAGAAGTAAGTGATCTTTCGATTTCTGTTTTTCAGTGTATACCTTCTATTCTATTGTTTAGTTAATGAGATTCAAAAATATACCGATCCAAATTTCATGGAAGATGATACACTATTGGCTCAGTCTAAAATTGAAATTATTTTAGCTCGTAAGTACAATAAAATTGTGTTTACTCGATATAGTTTATAAGTAGCTTTAGTGATAGTATTTTGTTATTATCTAGTTAGAATAAATTTTGTTTTACATTGTTTATTGGTAGGCAAAACGTACATTGAACTTCGTCTGTTTAGTGAATTCGTCATTTCATTTATTTGTGAAAGGGCTGTGATATTGCCCAGGTGCCCAAACTGAAGCACGTGGTTTTCTTAGGGGGCCATACCCCGAGCCTTTGACTTAAAGATCTGATGCAGTGGAGCACCGTGAGGAGATGCAGTCCCATGGTAGACGGTGACCAACAATCGGTTTCATACGCCATTTATTCCCTCAAGATACTGGAGCCCATGTGCACCATTGGTTTGGAATCAGGGTTTTCTAACTCCCCTAGGTGGGTTTCCGTGTCCACCAACACAGAGAACCGGAAATTCGCTTTTTGTCCTTTCAATTTCGTAAACAACGCCCCCGCCACGAGAAGACAGTGAGTAGGACTTCCCTGGCAGAGGCTATATATTCGCGTGGCCATGTGAGTGCATTTCGAGAGTGGGTGGGCCCTACCCACTCTCGGCTGTATCAGAGCATTCTGGGGCTGGCGTCGCGAGCAGGATGCCTGTCTATGGCTTGTGATGCTATTCCGAAGTAAATGTAGTTGTATTATTCTAACCTTTCAACCGCTTAAAACTTTTAAAGTTTATTACTGGAAAGTCGTATGTAATATGTTGTTATACTTGAACGGAGAGATTCAGTGAATCAGTTTTCATCAATATAAATTTACGACAATGATATTCAACTTCATAATTTTGTGAACTATGTTTCTGTTAAAATAGTTTTGGTCATTTAATATTTTCATCTTTGTGGCCATCCAGCACTGTATATCAACTTTTGAGAATAAAAACAATCAACACATTTGTCACCTACTAATCACGTTACAGTTCGGTCACTTCATGAAATTCAATCATATTTAGTCTTCAAATCTTTCCATTTTCTTGAGAACTATTCACCTTCATAAATTGCCATTCGTTCTATTAAATACTAAGTATCTAACACTTAACGAATAAAAATTTCTTGGATTTTATTTCATCATATTATATCCTTTCCTCATCCTAGTTTCTGACAACTCACAGTATTATTCCAAATTTATCTAATCGCACTCTCAAACTTGTTTTCGTTATCTTTTGAGTATACTAAAAGATATAAGACATCGGTCACTACTCAGTCAGTGATCTTGAGTGCTCTTAGAGGTATGAGGGCAGTTATCACTCCCTGGTTGCCCACACCGTGGAAGGATTCTTCCAGAGGTACCTGAAAAGGAAATCGGGTTAGAAGTGGTCTTAATGACTTGAGAGCGTGATCGAAGTGCCCAAGGGACAACTGCTTGAGGTCGGTCATATACGACCTTTTTGTGGGTGATTTTTGTGTTAGCTCCGTTCTAGTTGAGACCTTACCGCCGGAGACGGAAATCCGTGGGATAAGTCGAGGTGTTCATTTTTAGGGTCGACCTTTTCTAACCCCACCCCTCCTTGTGGGAAGGCAACATCGTTGTTATGCTGGTAGTCTGAAGGAAACACCTTACTGCTGTCACACCTCTGTACAGTCGGTAGTATGACTTCGTCTACGGACCTTGTTTTTTTTGCTGCTTTTAGTTTTACCACTCTTCAACCGACCAGTCTGGCATGGTTTTATGATTTATTTATTTAAACACATAAATATTGGTACAAGGAAGCACCAGATAAATATGCGCCTCACAAATCTCATTCGATTTGTGTGAGGGCTGTGATACTGCCCAGGTGCCCAGACTGAAGCAGGTGGTTTTCTTAGGGGGCCACACCCGGAGCCTTTGACCTGAATTTCTGATCCACAAGACAGTGGAGCATCGTGAGGAGATGCAGTCTCATGGTAGCCGGTGATTAATGACAGGTTCGTCGGCCATTCGTTCCATCAGGATACTGGAGCCCATGTGCACCATTGGTTTGGAATCAGGGTTTTCTAACTCCCCTAGGTGGACACGGAGGGTCCACCAACCCGGTTAAAGCGCCGGACATTCGCTTTTCGTCCTCTCACTTTCGTAAACAACACCCCCGCCACGAGAAGGCAGTGAGTAGGACTTCCCTGTCAGAGGCTATATCTTTGCTGGCCATGTGAGAGCATTTGGAGAGGGAGAGCGGACTCTCCCTACTCTCGGCCGTACCAGGGCATTTGGGGGCATGGTAGGACCTTAAGGAACGATTGCTCCAGCCAGTATAGCTCGATTGGATCATCACGATAGGCAAGCCCAACCACCACGTCAATGTAGCAGCAGCGGTCGGGTCACTACTCAGTGATTAACCAATTGTGTGTCAGTCCTACAAGATGTTAGTTGTGGCCCAAATAACGGTTGTAACATCTCAGATTATAAAGCCATACGATTGAGGTTTGAATTCACCAAGAAGCATCATTTTCCCTTCAAGGTTGCAGGTACACTTTAATAACGACTGTCAACTAGTAGGAAATCTAGATTGAGCAGGGTTTTATGTCAACAAATTTCAACCACCGAATGTTTATGCCTTATGTTCGGTATAATTCTGAACAAGCGTAACATTATGTCAATTCACTTTGTCAACATAACTTATAATCTAGCACAAAATTATATTTTCTGTTTTAAGGTACAATATCTAGAATGTAAATTCTAAGGAGGCCATTTCATTCTCGAAAATCAAAATAAATGATAGGGTGTTGGAACCTAAAATCCGTTTAATAAATAGGTAATAAAATCAACATAATTCCATCATGTTTGATTGATTATTAGACCGGTTTCTATTCCTTCTTATAGTTAATCTGTGTAGATTTTTATGTATAAATATAGTAGCGGGACACTGTAAAGGTAAACTTTCTTATTTTTCTATTCTTTTTGAAATCTATCTTCATTGTTTAATATTGTATGTTTGATGAAGTATAGACAGGTTTGTGCAAAGGAGCTATCGATTTTATTCGTTTTCCCACTTCGTGATATCTTTTCTACTAATAGGCCATTTGCTGACAAGATTTCATCGTAAATTAATTTTTGTGACATTTCATGGCTTATTTCGCGCTTCATGTTTAATTGATGCCTAATTATTAAAAAAATATTCCAAACAGTTGTAGACGTGAATGTGAATTACTGAATTAATCCAGAATGATGAGAAATTCTTGCATTTAATGTAAACTCCTGCAATCGGTGGACCAAATATTTAAACCGACAGTTATACCTATACATTTTCAGTAGAGTGTGATTTGCTATAACTATCTCATCTCCTTGTGCTAATGGGGTATGGTGAATTGAACCTGTATACGTATGTGCCAGATTCTATAGTGCATTTGACTAACTGATTCACTGAAAATGTTTCAGAATATTTGTTTTGCTTTTTAAAATATTTGAGGATCATTTCACTAATAGATTAATAATTGGGTTAGTATGGTATGTAATATTTAAATATAGATTGTTAAAAATATCTTCCGACTGGAGATAAATACCACTGTCATTCGCCATTTTGATCTTCCGCCTGACGACCAATCAAAATGAAGTGGAAGTTACTGTTTACGTTATTGTAATCCACATACACCTCCAATTAATTCTTTAATAGGAATTCAATGACTAAATAAAGAAAAAAAGAAACAATAATTACTGACTACGATACTTAGATGACTTGACAAAGTGTTGTTTATTCTCACGCTACTTGTTTTGAAGCATTATTGTTATCTTTATCTATGATTGATTCACGTATCAGACATTTCATACATCTTGTTTTACCTCTAAATTTTATTATTTTAGAACGAGACAAGATAGAGAAAATTGGCAGTGATCTTGAAAAGATTTCAAAGTTGCGAGATTGTTTAAATCATCCAGCATTTGGGGGTTAGTTTGTTACTAATTTTTTCCTTTGATGTGTTAATTTATCTATTTTAGAAATTAGTACGTTAAAACAAAAGTTTGAAGAGCTACGAATGGTACATAATGATCAATATGTTATGTCTGAGAAGTTGATCGCTGATACGCAAGCTTTATTGGACACATATCATAATTTAGTATGTTATATGTGTTAATGATCTGAATTGTCTATAACATTTTGGTTTCACATTGCCATCTCTATTCTGACTTAAATAATCTATTAATCACCCAATATATCTTGAATAATTAGTATATTTTTATCTTGTACTTCACATCTGCTAAGTTGCACACCTCATCTGATGAAGATCCAGCACCTTTATGCTACGTCGTTTATAAGCCTTCTTTTTCATTTAAGAACTTAATGAGATACGAGATAAAAAAAGAGTGTATTCTTATTATTTAACATATTTGCATAGTTAGTTTATCATTAACCTTAGATGGGGAAATAAAATTGAAAAAAACACCGTAACTATCGGGGGCGGGAGGAGAAGTATG